AGGCGGAATGCATTGATCAGGAGAGCAGCAGTGACTGGACGGTTCCAGGCGGACACTGTGTGTCCCTTTTAAAGCTGATACAGGAACGGTTTCCACACGCGGTTTATCATATTGGCCATCGCGAGAGAAGCTCTACAGCTGAACTCGGAGCAGTGATAAAATGTTCAGTTCAGTGGGTGAGATGTAAACAGGGTCATTCTGAGTGGTTTGATGTGAAATGTGTTTGGTGTACAGAAACTTACCAACAGATTTCTTTACAGTGGAGGTGATGGGAACCACGGGTCACAGCCCTGATAAATGACATAAGCAGCTACTTTTGGCCCCCAGCTGCCAGGAACTTCTAGGGATTACTGTACCATTATGTTGTCAAAGATGCTCGAGTGAGGGGGAAAAGGCAACTGTTTAATCATATCTCCAAAAAAGACAAAATGAGGAGAAAAATTATTTTGTGTTGTTAAAATTATGCATTTTTGGGCTTTTAGCTGGAAAACAAAAAGTAGTAAATCTGGATGGAGAATGCTGTGACAGTTATCTGTAATTAAATTGTAATAATTAAATTGTAAGTAGAATCCAAACAGGCATTCATTAGTATCCACTCACCAACAATACACAAATCATATACAAATCATAATTTCGACCACTTGTGGTGGTCATTGTTATTAGTTAGCCTCTGGTTCTACAGTACACTGGCTAGCAAGCTAACTTGTTTTGCTAATGTCGTGTAAACAAAATTATATCCTAACTTATGAATGATTATTTTAGACTACATATGCACCATTCTACCAAATTAGTTCAAACTCAGTCTCACTGTAAAAAAAAATTAAGGATTCAAATCTTAGATATTAACAAGTATAATGTTCTGATCTATTTAAACTGAAAGCATTAATAGAGATAGTAAAATAAAAAAAACTAATTATATACAAAATCTTCATTTATACGGTACTTTTTGTTGGGCAGTGTCTGTCCTAAACCCTAGCCAAATTTCAGAATGTGAAAATAATACTCAGTTTTTCAATTTCAATTTTTTTATTTAAAGATATTTTGGTTTTGTTTAAAGCAGAGTTTAAATATCTGGGTTTATCATGAGTGTAATTTTTAAACAAAAAAAACTTTGAAATGCTGTTCTTTGTCACTACTGAAACACAGAGTTTTAGTCTGTTGGTGGAGACTTATTTTAGCCACACCCCTGCATTTCAGAGCAGGAAGTGAGACTGTATCTCTGTCCCTCATGGCCACATGGTGAGCAGTTAGATCTCATTGTTTTGAAGAAAAGTGTCCCAAAGTCTGAAAATCAGTAGCATTTCAGACCAAACCACTCTGAATGACTCTGTTTACATCTTAACCATTTCATTATGCAGAAGTTATGCAGTGTAAGTCTCTATAAAAACGTCTTGATACACATTGAAATACATTATAAACCTTTCAGTTAAGACTCAGCTTAAAGCTTTTTAGCCTGAAAAACCTCTCAAACATTTCTAAGGACAACTGTTTGGTATTCATAGGTTTCCTTTGAATAACTTCATAATTTAATAACCCTAAACTCAGTTCCAGACGTTTTAAAAGGTCAGAGAGATCATGAGCAAGACCAAAAACAAAATAAAGGCAAATATAAACAGTTAAAATAAATTGAAATAAAAATAAGTCATAATGTTGCCTTTTTAACATTTAATATCGTGTGAAAATGTGATTACTGCAGTTTTCTACAGACTAATTTTCTTATTATCTGCAAATATGATGGATGGCTGGTGCTAATGCTGACGCTGAGGCCTAGTCTGGCTATTTCTGCATAATTAAACGGTTGAGATGTAAACAGTGTCATTCAGAGTGGTTTGATGAGAAATGCTCTGCTATTAAGTCAGAGTCACAGTGGTGGTGATGGGAACCAGACATCCATATCCATTTAATGCCTCTAAAAGCTCCTTCACAGAAAGTTACTAAGTGGTTACAAATATGCTGCGTAATCCCTTGAATATTAAATTTAGTAATATTTGTGTTTATCGGGCTGTCAAGTTTCTGCAATGGATTATTTCACAGCAAATCACTCTGAATGAGTTTACATCACAATAATTGAATTACACAGAAATGTAATAATAATAATACACAGCTAGCAAGTTTTGATGGAATGACTATCATGAAAAAGGCATCATTTGGTTTGGAATTGTTCCTTCATCTATTTTTGCTGGACTTTTACTGGACTTCTTAGCAGGCTGGCCTAGGAGAGTCTCTGACTGAGTCACTGACTGACTGACTGACACCCACTGTTGAAAGGCTTATGCAAAAACGTCACCTGAACGAAAACTAAACGAAGGGACGTTGCCCACATACTCAGGATACGCAGGACTAACACACATATAGAAAGAAAGCAGAAGACACATTCATTCATACATATCAAGCATCTTACAAAAACAACGAAAACTCTTCTTAATAACGAGTGCAGTAACACAGTGAGTGAAGCAAACTCTTATATAATAAAAGCCTGGAGATGAGACGGGGTGTGTGGAGTCAATACAACTTAGAAAATATCATTTCAATGGAATACTGAGGGGACCACCCCAGTGACTGTTTCGTACCTTTATTTCTGAGTGTATGATAGAACTTTTGTGTGTTTAATGAAAAATGTGCCCGGTAAAAAATTTAATGGGCATCAACCTGACACTGTGGGCAGGTTGTGCGTATCTTGCCAAGTTCTGGTCAAAGAACTCCTGTTGAAACACTCTTTTAAAAAGGCAACCACTTTGTACTCTTTTAAATAAAGTCACTATAAAGGGTTCTTTGCTATGATACCATAGGAGAACCACTTTTGGTTCCCTACAGAACCTTTCAGTGGGTAGTTCTTGAAGGAACCACTTTTGTAAATTATGTTTGAGCATGAAGAACCTTTTTAAAGTTAAGGTTAAATATTAAAGTCTACACTCTCAGAAAACATGGATGGCACCCCTCTTGTCACTGGGGTGGTACCCTAAGGGGTACATCTTCAGTATCTTTAGTTAGGGATCATAATTGTACCAAATTCCAGTGCAATTATATTTCTAAGTGGTATTGACTCCACACACTCTGTCTCGTCTCCAGGCTTTTTATTTTTTGTTCTGTTTTTAAAAAATTATGTTCTTTTCCTCTGTAAAAACTTATTTAAGGTTCACCGTTGGGCCTTTAAACCACTGTTGTACCTTTGAGGGAACGTTTACATTATTTGTACCTTGATGAACGAAAAATGTACCTGCACAGAACCTTTTTTTCTGACAGTATACAGCAATGAAAAGTTTTTCCTAGAGCTGTAGAACCCTGTATTCGTAAGAGTGTATGTGAGGACTCGGTGTGTCTGCTGGTCATGTGACTCAGCTGTCACTCACCGTCTCAGTGATGGACGTGTATGATGGACAGGATGAGAGTCGCACAGGAACCTACTCATCACAGCGGTGTGTAAAGCCAGGGAGGAAGAGTGAGGTGTTATCTCTGAGATTAGACAGAGACGGATGAGAGGAGAGAGAACAGGTGTGCTGTGATGGCTTCGGCTGTAACGTTCGGAGATGTTCTAGAAGGGGGAACAGAGGCCGTCTTCTTTCTTTTTAACGCTTAAAGATCATCGCTATTTCTGCAATCAAGCAGCTATTTCTGCTGTTTGTCTTTTTTTTTTTCAAAATAAAGTTGTTAAGATCTCTTAGCCATTTAATTATGCAGACATTTTGAAAAATCGGTGGAATTCTCTTTAGAGAGGTAACTTCCTAAAAGCTTCTTGATGAGATTTTGGCCCTCTAGATGCATCTGAATGAATTAAAAAACTTTAAGACTCAGCCCAAAGTTTTTTAGCCTGAAAAGCCTTTCAAACATTTTAGCTTTGGTAGTGAGAGAACTGGATGTTTATATCAGTTACGGACAACCGTTTGGTTTTCTTAGGTTTCCTTTGAATAACTTCATAATTTCATAACTTTCAAAAGGTCAGAGCAATCAAGAGCAACAGAAACAACATGAAGGAAAAATTTAAGCAGTAAAAATACATTTAAATAAAAAATAGTCACTAAATTTCACCATTTTAATTTAATATCATGTGAAAATATTTCCATAGCCACAATTTTCTACAGACTAATCTTAATATCTGCAAATGTGATGGATGTCTGATACTGAGGCTGACACTGAGGCCTTGTTTGGCTATTTTTGTATATTTAAATTGTTTAGAGCGGTTTAATGTGAAATACTCCATTCTAGAAAAATGTGCAGAGTCAGAATTTTTGTAGACATTCTTGTGACGCATGACGAAATATTTTGTAACACTTTACTGTAGGTCATGTTCATAAGGCTAATGACAATTACACAAGCCTGACATATGACAGCTGACAAAAACCTACATAAACCTTCATAAGGGCTCATTCCAATGCACAGCGGTTGTCGTAAAGGCTGTTTGTGTGAACTTCCTAACACCTATGTCAAACTGACATTAGGTTGTCATAACACTTCCTGGGCTGGAATGATATAACATGTTATGACAGCTGACAGCTTGTAGGTCAAACGCATGAAGGGGATTATGTTACACATCTTAAGAAATGAGGCTGGTTGCAAAATCAAGCGAAGGTGAGCACTTCTAAAAGGATGATTTGACACTGTGGTAACACTGAAATGTCAGTCTGCTGTGTTGTGGTCATATTGTGAAGGTTTTGATTCTGACGCTCTGTTATGACAGAGTTATGTTTATTGTCTCTGACCCTTAAGTAAAGTGTCTTCATATGATGTTATGAATCCTGGTGGTAATGCTACAACAATGAAATGAGTTATGGCTTGGGTTACAAATTTTGTCAGAATTGAAATGTCCAGTGTAGTATTTAAAGAATTCTGTGTAAAATGGACATTAAAAAATATTCTTAATTAGAGATGAAGGGATCACAGAATAATTAGTCTTTGTAAATCTTCATCTTTTAGTCTGTTTTTTTAACATTCTCTTAGCTCTGGATTCACTGTCAGTACAGACACATGCTCATCACAGGTATGTCCTCTGTCTCTCTCTGTAGGGCTGGATGACTGTCTGCAGCAATACATTAAGAACTTCGAGCGGGAGAAAGTGGGTGGGGACCAGCTGCTCCGGATCACCCATCAGGAGCTGGAGGACCTCGGCGTGTCCCGCATTGGTCACCAGGAGCTCATCCTGGAAGCTGTGGACCTCCTGTGTGCTCTGGTAAGGGTCCACAAACACCAAAAGCACTGACCTCTCCATGCTCCCACAAATATATTCTATCATAGCAGTAGCTACAGTTGCCAGGTTGGCATGCATCTCAGTTTAAATTTGAGCGAGCTGGGGCTCCTGAGTGGCGCAACCGTCTAAGCGTTGGCCCTATCATCAGGAGATCGCAAGTTCGATCTGGTGATGCTACAGCCGTCCGTAGCTGGGAGTCCAAGAAAGGACAATTGGCCTCGCTCTCTCTGGGTGGGTAGGATGGCCCCTCCTTCTCCCCCCATCACTTAATGCGATGCTAGTCAGCGCAGGTTTCTGTTAGCTGATGTAACAGATCTGGCGGTTGGCGCTTTCCTCCGAGCGCGTTCGGCTGTCCAATGATGTTGCGTGAGCGGCAGTTCGAACAGAAGCGGTGGCGCTTCACAGGTCTCGGAGGAAGCCTGTGTTAGCCTTCGCCCTCCTAGCGTTGATAGTATTGTGTGATTGGGGGAGTCCTAACTAGCGGGTGGAATTGGCGACGACTAAATTGGGGAGATAATTGGGTAAAAATCCCCCCCAAAAAAAAATACTAACGAGCTAACTAACAAGCGTCATAAACAGTGCGAGAGTAGTTATTCAAAAAAAGTAATCCATAACAGATTAAAAAGTACTTCTGAAACTGTAATGGCATTACTTTACTTTATTGGCATTACATCCTGTTACAAGTAAAGTTTCTAATTACTTTACTTCTGCCTTACTCTCTAAAACCCACACAAATCTGTCCCAACTGGAAAGCAAGCTGGAAACCAAATGAAGAACCCTTTTCAAAAAGGTTATATATAGAACCATATACAACACATTCTCCATCAGTTTGAAGAACACTTTCATGATGCAAAGAACCCTTTAATCATGCAAATGGTTCCTTGAGTGTTCGTGGTTCTATATAGAACCATTTTCTTTACTAAAGAACCCTTGAAGAACCAACTTTTTAAAGAGTGTATGTGCTAAATAAAGAGGGCATTTGTGCATTTGAGTGCATCAGAGTGTGGATACACTCTTAAAAAGGTGGTTCTTCAGTGGTTCTTTAGTTAAGGGAATCGTTTTATTCAGAACCATGAGTATTTGCATGCTTAAATGGTTCTTTGCATGGTGAAGTGGTTCTTCAGATTGATGGAGATGTGTTATGTATGGTTCTATTTAGCACCAAAAAGTTCTGCTATTGCTAAAAGCTCACCACAACAAAATTCTGCTGTTGTTATGATGTCAAGCTTGTAACAACAGAAGAAGCATTTTTGGTGCTATATCGAACCATATACGACCAGGGACGCGAGATTTGTTGGGGGTGCTGATATTTTAAGCAGCGTATTTGTGACGTGACTGTTAAGGTCAGGCAAAATGATTTCCTTTTTTTTAGTTGATTTGTAAATGACTGTTTTTTTCTAGTTTACATCAAACACAGTATCATATAGAGCTGTAAAGGGCTGAGAGATGACAATTTATACATATTCCAGACACATCAAACTACCGACACACCACGTCTGTGATCTCTCATTCTGAACTTTATGCAAATGATCTGCAAATCAGATTGTTGATATGTAGCGCGGTAATTGTTTCACGCCCACAGTCACACAGTGAGATATAACATTGAGCGGTTGATAAAAACTTCATTATTACGATCTACTATGTTTTTAAGTTTAAAACAGTATTAGGCTGCTTCGGGACACAGAACTGACCTCTATCTCTGCATAGACTTTCTCTCTTTGCATCTCAGCCTGCGTGTGTTTGAGACTCAGCCTGAAAGCGACCATCAGTTTTCGACCCACTGTAACAAAAACACAGGGCTTCATTAAACAGTGTATGGATATTGCAGATTTTGAGAATATAAAAATATTATGCTCAAATTATTATAAAGTTTGAAATGTTTTATTATTATTATTATATATCGCTTTCCGCGTCCAAGTATGCAACACATTCTCCATCATTCTGGACAACCATTTCACCATGCAAAGAACCATTTAAGCGTGCAAATAGAACTTGTGCTTCTTAATAGAACCGTTCCCTTTACTAAAGAACCTTTGAAGATCCATCTTTTTTAAGAGTGTAAATCAAGTGTCAAAAGCCTCTCAATCCACAGCAACCCCCCCACTTTTTTAGGATTTTTCCTGAACAGTCTCCAAATTATTTGCAAAATCTGCATAATTGAAGAGTTTCGCTGTTTTTGTGAGGGGGCTTTACACCTACGGGTCATTCTACAGAAACGTCCATTTTTGTGTCCCTAGCGTTTACAGATATATTACACTTGAAAAACATGTTAGAGTTACAATTTATTTATATTTGAAAAAAAACAATAAGCTGTTTGAACAATTACACCTTCTTGAGCAATATTTGGTTTTAAAATCAATTATCTAGAATTCCAAACACCACAGAAGAGCTCGTCCCCACAGTCATGTGTAAGGGTTGAGGCCATATTTCTGCGATTTTAACTACAATAATCTATACATGACTATGGAACATATAAATTAAATGACATAAAGAAAACAAATGCCAAATAAATATTATATAATATATAATGCAAGTTGTCCCCAGGAGTTGTGTCACTGGTGTTACCGCATAAGAAAAATCTCTTATTTTGAAATAAACATCACACTGATGACATCACTTGACTTCCTTTTACCTATTTTCTGAGGATCTATGAAGAAAAGCACATGGTGAGTCCACTGTGTCTTTCAGTTATCAGAAATCTTCTCATTTAGCTCATGATTTCATATGAAGCTTTTAGCTGAAGTCACTGGTGTGACCGACTTTATTCTGAGGTAATTGTGAAAAAATAGAATACAAATGGATTAAATTACATATTTTAGTGGATATTCCATGATTGACAACATGTGGTTTGATGCTCTGTAGCAGCCATTTTGTAAAATGCATTTTTCATTAAAAAACGTCTCTGGTGTTACCTTTCTTTTGTGTAACACCAATGAGGATCAGTAACACCAGTGACTCCTATGGAGAGATAGAAAAATGGACGTTTCTGTAAAATGACCCATACACAAAATATCAGTGCCATATTATGATTAATAATTGATTTCCATTATATGTCAACTCTTATTCTGTTCTAAAGCCTGTTATAAATATAAAATTGTTATGAATAGCTATGCAGCACTTATAAAACTCTTCAATTACGTCTCTTTTATACTGCACTGTATTAACACTAACCTGGCTAGTCAGCTACAACCTGAGTGTCCAGTGCTCTGCTATGGCTCTAAAGGTATATGAGAGCTGGTCATCATTCACAATGAAAGCAGTTTTTTAAATCCTCAGACGTTTCAGTTGTGAAACATGCACAGAATAAGAGAGGAACAGCCTCCTGCTCTGTGTGGAAGTTCAGTCCATTGAAGAAAATGCAGTAACTGCTCCTCTATTCTTCTTCGCTGCTTCATGTGCCCTGCGTTGGTAATGATTTTGGCCCGAGAGAGGGTCATATTTTAAAATGTCTCTGGTGCTTTGTTTTGCCTCGAAGGGGCATTTTGGGAGAATTTACATGCAAATAGTCTGGAGACAAAGTGAAAAATAACTCATTCTCTTTGCAAATATTAGACGAACAGACTCAGAGGTTGAAATTTTACTGATCTTTGAAGGAATATTCAGCTGCTCATGTAAACAAGAATATGAATCATTTATGAATTTTCTAAGAGCATAGAAACAGGAAGGGCCTTAAAACTGTGACAGATCTCTGTGAGCGACATAAAAAGGCATTATTCAGAAAATAAATTGCTTGTAAAAGTGAAGCACTCAAACGTAGGAGGATCTATTGTATACATGCAGCTTTATGGGTGGAAATATTATATAGGATTACATATAATGATGATCACTGACATAAGGATGAGCGAGACCACCTATCATTTATTGAGTTCTCAGTCAAAACAGCCATTATGTACGTAAAACGTAAGTTTTTCAGTTGTCAGTATCAAGAAAAGACGCAGAAAACATATTTAGCAGACAATCACACAGAAGTCTCAACTACTAAATATGGTATAACTTATTCAGTATTTAGTGTGTCACTCTTTACCTTCATTACAGCTTCCATTCTTTTTAGGAGATTTGCTTTCAGTTTCTCAAAGAAATCTGCAGGGATATTTTTCCACACCTGCAAAGTTCAGTCTTAGAAGTTGGTTGCATTTTCAGCTTCTCACCATCCAAGTAATCCCAAACACACACAGTGATGTTGAAGTCTGACTCTGGGGTGGTCAGTCCACTGTTCTGCGAACACCAGTAACAACTTCTTGACAGCTACACATCCTTTCAGACTCACAGCGCTGAGTTCTCTTCTCACAGTGGAAGGATGGCTGTAGGTAGTATTACTTTAAAAAAAAAAGATGGTTCTTTAAGGGTTCTTTGGTACAGACAGTGGTTCTATATAGAACCATGAACAAAAATCGTTCTTCAGATTGATGGAGAATGCTTTATGTGTGTCTATATAGAAACCTATACAACAGAAGAAACCTTTTTGGTGCAACGTAGAACCATTTTCAAAAAGGTTTCTCAAACATGACATTATAACAATAGCAAAATGCTGTTAGTGCTATATACAACCATATACAACACATTCTCCATCAATCTGAAGAGCCATTTCACCAGGAAAAGAACGATATAAGGACCGTTGTCTTTACTAAGGAAGCCTTGAAGAACCATCTTTTTTTAAGAGTCGAACCACTGTAGTAGTAAGCTGTGAAAATCTGCAATGAAATAAAAGTATGTTTTAATAATAAAAATAGTAGTTAAAAAGTAAACTTTTTAAGAAGGAACAGGAGGAGAAATCAAACAAATGTTAAAGATAAATGAGTAAAATGAGAAGATGTCGTAATGGAGTCATGTCCAATTAGCTTCTACTATGTTGTTTATGTAGTTGTTTACAGGCTCTCTGTAATTGGTCTAAATCTGGGGCCGTATTACAGAAACGCCCTGCGTCTGAAATCTTATCTGTTTAGTCGCCATGACAACTTCAGTACGGACTGAATTTAGGTCAG